TGGTGATGGTGGTGATGATGATGATGATGGTGGTGGTGCTGATGATGGTGGTGGTGGTGATGATGGTGGTGGTGATGGTGGTGCTGATGATGGTGGTGGTGATGGTGGTGGTGGTGATGGTGGTGGTGGTGATGGTGGTGGTGATGGTGGTGGTGGTGATGGTGGTGGTGGTGGTGGTGATGGTGGTGCTGATGGTGGTGCTGATGATGGTGGTGGTGATGGTGGTGCTGATGATGGTGGTGGTGATGGTGGTGGTGCTGATGATGGTGGTGGTGCTGATGATGGTGCTGATGATGGTGGTGGTGATGATGGTGGTGATGATGGTGGTGATGATGGTGGTGATGATGGTGGTGGTGATGATGGTGGTGGTGGTGATGGTGGTGCTGATGATGATGGTGGTGATGGTGGTGGTGGTGATGATGGTGGTGGTGCTGATGATGGTGGTGGTGATGGTGGTGGTGGTGATGGTGGTGATGATGGTGGTGATGATGGTGGTGCTGATGGTGGTTCTGATGATGGTGGTGGTGATGGTGGTGATGATGGTGGTGGTGGTGGTGCTGATGATGGTGGTGGTGATGATGGTGGTGATGGTGGTGGTGGTGATGATGATGGTGGTGCTGATGATGATGATGGTGATGATGGTGGTGGTGATGATGGTGGTGGTGATGATGGTGGTGGTGATGGTGGTGGTGGTGATGATGGTGATGGTGGTGGTGATGATGGTGGTGATGATGGTGGTGGTGGTGATGGTGGTGATGATGGTGGTGGTGCTGATGATGGTGGTGGTGATGGTGATGGTGGTGGTGATGGTCGTGATGGTGGTGGTGATGGTGGTGATGGTGATGGTGGTGGTGATGGTGGTGGTGGTTGTGGTGGTGATGGTGGTGGTGGTGATGGTGGTGATGGTGGTGGTGATGGTGGTGATGATGATGGTGGTGGTGCTGATGATGGTGGTGGTGGTGATGAGGGTGGTGGTGATGGTGGTGGTGCTGATGATGGTGGTGGTGTTGAGGATAGTGGTGGTGCTGATGATGGTGGTGGTGATGGTGGTGATGATGGTGGTGATGATGGTGGTGATGATGATGGTGGTGATGATGGTGGTGATGATGATGGTGGTGATGGTGGTGATGATGGTGGTGATGGTGGTGATGATGATGGTGGTGGTGCTGATGATGGTGGTGGTGGTGATGATGATGGTGGTGGTGATGGTGGTGCTGATGGTGCTGATGGTGGTGGTGGTGATGGTGGTGGTGCTGATGATGGTGGTGGTGGTGGTGATGGTGGTGGTGGTGATGATGGTGATGATGGTGGTGGTGGTGATGGTGGTGGTGGTGATGGTGGTGGTGGTGGTGATGGTGGTGGTGGTGATGGTGGTGGTGGTGGTGGTGATGGTGGTGCTGATGGTGGTGCTGATGATGGTGGTGGTGATGGTGGTGGTGGTGCTGATGATGGTGGTGGTGATGGTGGTGGTGCTGATGATGGTGGTGGTGCTGATGATGGTGCTGATGATGGTGGTGGTGATGATGGTGGTGATGATGGTGGTGATGATGGTGGTGGTGATGATGGTGGTGGTGGTGATGGTGGTGCTGATGATGATGATGGTGGTGATGGTGGTGGTGATGATAGTGGTGGTGCTGATGATGGTGGTGGTGGTGGTGGTGATGGTGGTGATGATGGTGGTGCTGATGGTGGTTCTGATGATGATGGTGGTGGTGATGGTGGTGATGATGGTGGTGGTGCTGATGATGGTGGTGGTGATGATGGTGGTGATGGTGGTGGTGGTGATGATGATGGTGGTGCTGATGATGATGGTGATGATCGTGGTGGTGATGGTGATGGTGGTGGTGATGGTGGTGGTGATGGTGGTGGTGGTGGTGATGGTGGTGATGATGATGGTGGTGGTGGTGATGGTGGTGGTGATGATGATGGTGATGGTGGTGATGGTGGTGGTGGTGGCGATGGTGGTGATGATGGTGGTGATGGTGATGATGGTGGTGGTGGTGGTGATGGTGGTGGTGGTGGTGGTGATGGTGGTGATGATGGTGGTGGTGATGGTGGTGGTGATGATGGTGATGGTGGTGGTGATGGTGGTGATGATGGTGATGATGGTGGTGATGGTGGTGGTGATGGTGGTGGTGGTGATGGTGGTGGTGATGGTCGTGATGGTGGTGGTGGTGATGGTGATGGTGGTGGTGATGGTGGTGGTGGTGGTTGTGGTGGTGATGGTGGTGGTGGTGATGGTGGTGATGGTGGTGGTGATGGTGGTGATGATGATGGTGGTGGTGGTGATGGTGGTGATGATGGTGGTGATGATGGTGGTGATGATGGTGGTGATGATGATGGTGGTGATGATGGTGGTGATGGTGGTGATGGTGGTGATGATGGTGGTGATGATGATGATGTTGGTGGTGCTGATGATGGTGGTGGTGGTGATGATGGTGGTGGTGATGGTGGTGCTGATGGTGCTGATGGTGGTGGTGGTGATGGTGATGGTGGTGGTGCTGATGATGGTGGTGGTGGTGGTGGTGATGGTGGTGGTGATGGTGGTGCTGATGATGGTGGTGGTGATGGTGGTGGTGGTGATGGTGGTGGTGGTGATGGTGGTGGTGATGGTGGTGGTGGTGATGGTGGTGGTGGTGGTGATGGTGGTGCTGATGGTGGTGCTGATGATGGTGGTGGTGATGGTGGTGGTGGTGGTGATGATGGTGGTGGTGATGGTGGTGGTGCTGATGATGGTGGTGGTGCTGATGATGGTGCTGATGATGGTGGTGGTGATGATGGTGGTGATGATGGTGGTGATGATGGTGGTGATGATGGTGGTGGTGATGATGGTGGTGGTGGTGATGGTGGTGCTGATGATGATGGTGGTGATGGTGGTGGTGGTGATGATGGTGGTGGTGCTGATGATGGTGGTGGTGATGGTGGTGGTGGTGATGGTGGTGATGATGGTGGTGATGATGGTGGTGCTGATGGTGGTGCTGATGATGGTGGTGGTGATGGTGGTGATGATGGTGGTGGTGGTGGTGCTGATGATGGTGGTGGTGATGATGGTGGTGATGTGATGATGGTGGTGCTGATGATGATGATGGTGATGATGGTGGTGGTGATGGTGGTGGTGGTGATGATGGTGGTGGTGATGGTGGAGGTGGTGATGATGGTGATGGTGGAGGTGGTGATGATGGTGATGGTGGTGGTGATGATGGTGGTGATGATGGTGGTGGTGGTGATGGTGGTGATGATGGTGGTGGTGCTGATGATGGTGGTGGTGCTGATGATGGTGGTGGTGATGGTGGTGGTGGTGATGGTGGTGGTGATGGTCGTGATGGTGGTGGTGGTGATGGTGGTGATGGTGATGGTGGTGGTGATGGTGGTGGTGGTTGTGGTGGTGATGGTGGTGGTGGTGATGGTGGTGGTGATGGTGGTGATGATGATGGTGGTGGTGCTGATGATGGTGGTGGTGCTGATGATGGTGGTGGTGGTGATGAGGGTGGTGGTGATGGTGGTGGTGCTGATGAGGATAGTGGTGGTGCTGATGATGGTGGTGGTGATGGTGGTGATGATGGTGGTGGTGATGGTGGTGATGATGATGGTGGTGGTGCTGATGATGGTGGTGGTGGTGATGAGGGGTGGTGGTGATGGTGGTGGTGCTGATGATGGTGGTGGTGTTGAGGATAGTGGTGGTGCTGATGATGGTGGTGGTGATGGTGGTGATGATGGTGGTGATGATGGTGGTGATGATGTTGGTGGTGATGATGGTGGTGATGATGATGGTGGTGATGGTGGTGATGATGGTGGTGATGGTGGTGATGATGATGGTGGTGGTGCTGATGATGGTGGTGGTGGTGATGATGGTGGTGGTGATGGTGGTGCTGATGGTGCTGATGGTGGTGGTGGTGATGGTGGTGGTGCTGATGATGGTGGTGGTGGTGGTGATGGTGGTGGTGGTGATGGTGGTGGTGGTGATGATGGTGGTGGTGGTGATGGTGGTGGTGGTGATGGTGGTGGTGGTGGTGATGGTGGTGGTGGTGGTGATGGTGGTGGTGGTGGTGGTGATGGTGGTGCTGATGGTGGTGCTGATGATGGTGGTGGTGGTGGTGGTGGTGCTGATGATGGTGGTGGTTGATGGTGGTGGTGCTGATGATGGTGGTGGTGCTTGATGATGGTGCTGATGATGGTGGTGGTGATGATGGTGGTGATGATGGTGGTGATGATGGTGGTGATGATGATGGTGGTGGTGATGATGGTGGTGGTGGTGATGGTGGTGGTGATGGTGGTGGTGGTGATGGTGGTGATGATGGTGGTGATGATGGTGGTGCTGATGGTGGTTCTGATGATGATGGTGGTGGTGATGGTGGTGATGGTGGTGATGATGGTGGTGGTGCTGATGATGGTGGTGGTGATGATGGTGGTGATGGTGGTGGTGGTGATGATGATGGTGGTGCTGATGATGATGGTGATGATGGTGGTGGTGATGGTGGTGGTGGTGATGATGGTGGTGGTGATGGTGGAGGTGGTGATGATGGTGATGGTGGTGGTGATGATGGTGGTGATGATGGTGGTGGTGGTGCTGATGATGGTGGTGGTGATGATGATGGTGGTGATGGTGGTGGTGCTGATGATGATGGTGCTGATGATGATGGTGGTGGTGCTGATGATGATGGTGATGATGGTGGTGGTGATGGTGGTGGTGGTGATGATGGTGGTGGTGATGGTGGTGATGGTGGAGGTGGTGATGATGGTGGTGATGGTGGTGGTGATGGTGGTCTTGATGATGGTTGTGATGATGGTGGTGGTGCTGATGATGATGATGATGGTGGTGATGGTGATGGTGGTACTGATGATGGTGGTGGTGATGGTGGTCTTGATGATGGTGGTGGTGATGATGGTGATCGTGGTGGTTAATGGTGGTGGTAATGATGATGGTGATCATAGTGGTTAATTGTGATGCTGCTGATGATGCTGATGATGATCATGCTGATGCTGATGATGTTTTATCTCAGATCTCGCGTGGCCAGGCCTCCCAAAAAGAATCCCGAGGATGAGTTTGAACAGCGATGACGCGAGGCGCTACAGCCGGGAACCACAGCCTGACCCGGTGAGTCTGTGGGTAACAGTGCTGAGTCTATGGGTGACAGTGCTGAGTCTATGGGTGGCAGTGTTGAGTCTATGGGTGGCTGTGTTGAGTCTACGGGTGGCAGTGCTGAGTCTATGGGTGGCAGTGCTGAGTCTATGGGTGGCAGTGTTTAGTCTATGGGTGGCAGTGTTGAGTCTATGGTTGGCAGTGCTGAGTCTACGGGTGACAGTGTTGAGTCTATGGGTGGCAGTGTTGAGTCTATGGGTGACAGTGCTGAGTCTATGACAGTGCTGAGTCTATGGGTGACAGTGCTGAGTCTATGACAGTGTTGAGTCTATGGGTGGCAGTGTTGAGTCTATGACAGTGCTGAGTCTATGGGTGGCAGTGCTGAGTCTATGGGTGGCAGTGCTGAGTCTATGGGTGACAGTGCTCAGTCTATGGGTGACAGTGCTGAGTCTATGGGTAGCAGTGTTGAGTCTATGGGTGGCTGTGTTGAGTCTATGGGTGGCAGTGTTGAGTCTATGGGTGGCAGTGTTGAGTCTATGGGTGGCAGTGCTGAGTCTATGGGTGACAGTGCTGAGTCTATGGGTGACAGTGCTGAGTCTATGGGTAGCAGTGTTGAGTCTATGGGTGGCAGTGCTGAGTCTACGGGTGACAGTGTTGAGTCTATGGGTGGCAGTGTTGAGTCTATGGGTGGCAGTGTTGAGTCTATGGGTGCAGTGCTGAGTCTATGGGTGACAGTGCTGAGTCTATGGGTGACAGTGCTGAGTCTATGGGTAGCAGTGTTGAGTCTATGGGTGGCAGTGCTGAGTCTATGGGTGTCAGTGTTGAGTCTATGGGTGGCAGTGTTGAGTCTATGGGTGACAGTGCTGAGTCTATGACAGTGCTGAGTCTATGGGTGACAGTGCTGAGTCTATGACAGTGTTGAGTCTATGGGTGGCAGTGTTGAGTCTATGACAGTGCTGAGTCTATGGGTGGCAGTGCTGAGTCTATGGGTGGCAGTGCTGAGTCTATGGGTGACAGTGCTGAGTCTATGGTACAGTGTTGAGTCTATGGGTGGCAGTGTTGAGTCTATGGGTGGCTGTGTTGAGTCTATGGGTGGCAGTGTTGAGTCTATGGGTGGCAGTGTTGAGTCTATGGGTGGCAGTGCTGAGTCTATGGGTGACAGTGCTGAGTCTATGGGTGACAGTGCTGAGTCTATGGGTAGCAGTGTTGAGTCTATGGTGGCAGTGCTGAGTCTATGGGTGGCAGTGCTGAGTCTCTGGGTGGCAGTGTTGAGTCTATGGGTGGCAGTGCTGAGTCTATGGGTAGCAGTGCTGAGTCTATGGGTAGCAGTGTTGACTCTATGGGTAGCAGTGTTGAGTCTATGGGTGGCAGTGCTGAGTCTATGGGTGGCAGTGCTGAGTCTATGGGTGGCAGTGTTGAGTCTATGGGTGGCAGTGCTGAGTCTATGGGTGACAGTGCTGAGTCTATGGGTAGCAGTGCTGAGTCTATGGGTAGCAGTGCTGAGTCTATGGGTGGCAGTGCTGAGGTCTATGGGTGGCAGTGCTGAGTCTATGGGTAGCAGTGCTGAGTCTATGGGTGGCAGTGCTGAGTCTATGGGTGGCAGTGTTGAGTCTATGGGTGGCAGTGTTGAGTCTATGGGTGGCAGTGCTGAGTCTATGGGTGACAGTGTTGAGTCTATGGGTGGCAGTGTTGAGTCTATGGGTGGCAGTGTTGAGTGTTGAGTCTATGTTTGATGAGTCTGTGGTGATGATGTCTTTCCCCCCAGGAGTCTTCCGAGTATTTCTACGACGAGGTGGAGGAGTTCGACAAGAAGAGGACTAAGGTCTGCTGACATGGCTACGCTCACGAACGCCCACACAGATACAGACAAAGGCACCACGGTTAGCTCACCACGGGCTGTAGGGGCAAGTGCTGTTAGCGAGTAGCAGCAGCAGCACTGATGAATGATGATGCCGCTGATGATGATGATGATGCTGCTGCTGATGATGATCATGGTGATGATGGTGATACTGATGAAGCTGATGATGGTGAAGCTGATGATGTTGACGATGTTGTTTCAGAGCCTTACCAGTGCACGACCAGCCTTGCTGTTTGAGGGCGAACAGGATCCTGAAGAGGTGAGAAGATGATGATTCCAGCGTTGAGTCTATGGGTGACAGTGCTGAGTCTGCGGGTGGCAGTGTTGAGTCTATGGGTGGCAGTGCTGAGTCTATGGGTGGCAGTGCTGAGTCTATGGGTGGCAGTGCTGAGTCTATGGGTGGCAGTGCTGAGTCTATGGGTGGCAGTGTTGAGTCTATGACAGTGTTGAGTCTATGGTGGCAGTGTTGAGTCTACGGGTGGCAGTGTTGAGTCTATGGGTGGCAGTGTTGAGTCTATGGGTGGCAGTGTTGAGTCTATGGGTGGCAGTGTTGAGTCTATGGGTGGCAGTGCTGAGTCTATGGGTGGCAGTGTTGAGTCTATGAGTGGCAGTGTTGAGTCTATGGGTGGCAGTGCTGAGTCTATGGGTGGCATGTAGTTGAGTCTATGGGTGGCAGTGTTGAGTCTATGGGTGGCAGTGCTGAGTCTATGGGTGGCAGTGCTGAGTCTATGGGTGGCAGTGCTGAGTCTGAGTGGCAGTGCTGAGTCTATGGTGGCAGTGCTGAGTCTATGTACAGTGCTGAATCTATGGGTGGCAGTGCTGAGTCTATGGGTGGCAGTGCTGAGTCTATGTACAGTGTTGAGTCTATGTACAGTGCTGAATCTATGGGTGGCAGTGCTGAGTCTATGGGTGGCAGTGCTGAGTTTATGGGTGACAGTGCTGAGTCTATGTACAGTGGCGAGTCTATGTACAGTGTTGAGTCTATGTACAGTGCTGAGTCTATGTACAGTGCTGAGTCTATGGGTGACAGTGCTGAGTCTATGGGTGGCAGTGCTGAGTCTATGTACAGTGCTGAGTCTATGGGTGGTAGTGCTGAGTCTATGGGTGGCAGTGCTGAGTCTATGGGTGGCAGTGCTGAGTCTATGGACAGTGTTGAGTCTATGTACAAGTACTGAGTCTATGGGTGACAGTGTTGAGTCCTACGGGTGACAGTGCTGAGTCTATGGGTAGCAAGTGCTGAGTCTATGTACAGTGCTGAGTCTATGTACAGTGCTGAGTCTATGGTGACAGTGCTGAGTCTATGGTGACAGTGCTGAGTCTATGACAGTGCTGAGTCTATGGTGACAGTGCTGAGTCTATGTATAGTGCTGCTCGCTAACTGCACTTGCCCTTCACTCTGTGTGGGCTACACTGGGCACCTTTGGTCTTTTTCAGGAGATAATGCCCTGGAAGACGAGTCGACGATGACGATGACGATGACGGTGATGGCAAAGGACGGTGATGACGATGATGGCGACATGGAGAGTGATCTGGACAAGAAAGACAAAGATGATGAAGGTTAGCGAAGAGGTGATGGTGGTGATGGTGTGTTGTGGTGGTGGTGATGGTGGTGATGGTGGTGATGGTGGTGGTGATGGTGGTGGTGATGGTGGTGATGGTGGTGATGTGTGGGTGATGGTGGTGGTGGTGGTGATGGTGGGGTGATGGTGGTGGTGATGGTGATGGTGGTGTGATGGTGGTGGTGGTGATGGTGGTGGTGATGGTGGTGATGGTGCTGGTGGTGATGGTGGTGGTTGTGGTTGTGATGGTGATTGTGATGGTGGTGATGGTGGTGATGGTGGTGATGGCGGTGGTGGTGATGGTGGTGATGGTGGTGGTTGTGGTGGTGATGGTGATTGTGATGGTGGTGGTGGTGGTGATGGTGGTCATGGTGGTGGTGGTGGTGATGATGGTGATGATGGTGGTGATGGTGGTGGTGATGATGGTGGTGGTGATGATGGCGGTGCTGTGATGGTGGTGGTGATGATGATGGTGGTGATGGTGGTGGTGATGGTGGTGGTGATGGTGGTGATGATGATGGTGGTGGTCATGGTGGTGATGATGATGGTGGTGGTCATGGTGGTGATGGTGGTGGTGGTGATGATGGTGGTTATGTTGTTGATGGTGGTTATGGTTATTGTGATGTTGGTTATGGTTATGGTTGTTGTGATGTTCGTAATGATGGTAATGGTGGTTGTGCTGATGGTGTTATGATGGTGGTTTGTGTGATGGTGATAATGATGGTGATAGTGTAGTGATGGTGGTTGTGATGTTGATGATGATAGTGGCTTTGGTTGTGGTGATTGGTTTAGTGATGGTGATCGTGGTTATGGTTGTGGTGATGGTGTTAATGATGGTGTTGGTGATGGTGGTAATGATGGTGTTGGTGATGGTGGTAATGATGGTGTTGGTGATGGTGGTAATGATGGTGTTGGTGATGGTGTAATGATGGTGTTGGTGATGGTGGTAATGATGGTGTTGGTGATGGTGGTAATGATGGTGTTGGTGATGGTGGTAATGATGGTGTTGTGATGGTGGTAATGATGGTGGTAGTGATGGTGTTGGTGATGGTGGTAATGATGGTGTTGGTGATGGTGTTAATGATTGTGGTAGTGATGGTGGTAATGATGGTGGTAATGATGGTGGTCATGATGTTGAGTGGTGATGGTAATGATGGTATTGATAGCTCTACTGAATCAGCTTTTCCTCGTGAAGATGATGTTGCTGATGACGATGCTGATGATTGACGATGTCACTGATGATGATGTCACTGATGACGATGTCGATGATGACGATGTTGATGATGATGTCACGGATGACGATGTTGATGATGACGATGTTGATGATGATGTCACGGATGACGATGTTGATGATGACGATGTTGATGATGATGTCACTGATGACGATGTTGCTGATGACACTGCTGATGATGATGATGTCACTGATGACGATGTTGCTGATGACACTGCTGATGATGATGTCACTGATGACGATGACTATGTCGATGATGACGATGTTGATGACGATGTCACTGATGACGATGTTGATGATGAAGATGTCACCGATGATGATGTTGATGATGTCACTGATGATGTCACTGATGACGACGTTGATGACGATGTTGATGTTGATGTCACTGATGATGACGTTGATGGCGATGTCACCGATGATGATGTCATGATGACGATGTTGATGACGATGTTGATGATGTCACTGATGACGATGTTGACGTTGATGGTGATGTCACTGACGACGATGTTGACGACGATGTTGACGACGATGTTGATGATGTTGATGACGATGTTGACGACGTTGATGATGTCACTGATGACTATGTTGATGACGTTGATGATGATGTCACTGATGACGATGTTGATGACGATGTTGACGACATTGTTGATGATGTGACTGATGACGATGTTGATGATGTTGATGACGATGTTGATGACATTGATGATGTCACTGATGACGATGTTGATGACGATGTTGATGATGTCACTGACAACGATGTTGATGACGATGTTTGACGTTGATGATGATGTCACTGATTGACGATGTTGACGATGTTGATGACGATGTTGACGATGTTGATAGTGATGTCACTGATGACGATGTTGTTGATGATGTTGATGACGGTAGATCTCCCGGATGAGCGGGCGTGGGGAGCCAGGAAGAGAGTTTTCTACGACACGGAATACCCAGACGACGACCGACGAGGTGGGAACACTCAGCCACAGCCACACCACTCAGCCACCACACTCACACCACACTCAGCCACACCCACAACACCACCACACTCAGCCACACCCACACCCACCACACCCACCACAGCCACCACACTCAGCCACCACACCCACACTCACCACACCCACCACACCCACCACACCCACCACACTCAGCCACCACATCCACCACACCACCCACACCACCCACACCACACCCACCACACCCACCCCACCACACCCACCACACCCACCACACCCACCACACCCACCACACCACACCACACCCACCACACCCACACCACACCACACCCACCACACCCACCACACCCACACCACACACACCACACCACACCCACCACACCCACCACACCCACCACACCCACCACACCACACCACACCCACCACACCCACCACACCCACCACACCACACCACACCCACCACACCCACACCACCCCACACCCACCACACCCACCACACCACACCCACCACAACCACCACACCACACCACACCACACCCACCACACCACACCACACCCACCACACCACACCACACCACACCACACCCACCACACCACACCACACCCACCACACCCACACCACACACACCACACCCACCACACCCACACACCCAGCACACCCACCACACCCACCACACCACACCACACCCACCACACCCACCACACCACACCCACCACACCCACCACACCACACCACACCACACCCACCACACCACACCACACCCACCACACCCACACCACACCACACCACACCCACCACACCACACCACACCCACCACACCCACACCACACACACCACACCCACCACACCCACCACACCCAGCACACCCACCACACCCACCACAACACACCACACCCACCACACCACACCCACCACACCACACCCACCACACCACACCACACCCACCACACCCACCACACCCACACCACCCACACCACACCCACCACACCCACCACACCCCTTCCTGGCGGTGGTGATGACGATGATGACAAGGATGACGACGATGATGATGATGACGATGACGGCCATGATGATGACGATGATGATGACGATGATGATGATGATGATGATGACGATGATGATGTTGATGACGATGACGACGATGATGATGACGACGATGACGGCGATGATGACGGCGATGATGATGATGTTGACGATGATGATGATGATGACGATGATGATGACGATGACGACGATGACGATGACGACGATGGATGACGACGATGATGGTAATGGGGTGGCGACAATGATGATGACGACCGACGACGATGATGACGATGACGACGATGATGACGACGATGATGACGACGATGATGACGACGATGATGACGACGACGATGACGACGACGATGATGATGATGATGACGATGATGACGATGACGGTGATGATGGTAATGGGTGGCGACGATGATTCAGTCCGTCCCAAGACAGATGAGCTGTGTGACGAAGATGAGGAGGAGGTGGAGGCACTTGCTGTTCAGAAGAGGTTGGCCCAGACCATCTCGGATGAGGATCTGGGTCTGGATCTCCTCCAGGTAACATCACCTCCTCAACATCGTCATCATCACCTCCTCAACATCGTCATCATCACCTCCTCAACATCGTCATCATCACCTCAACATCATCATCATCACCTCCTCAACATCATCATCACCTCCTCAGCATCATCATCATCATCACCTCTTCAACATCGTCATCATCATCACCTCCTCAGCATCACCTCCTCAACATCGTCATCATCATCACCTCCTCATCATCAACATCGTCATTATCATCATCATCACCTCCTCAACATCATCATCATCATCACCTCAACATCATCAACATCATCATCATCACCTCCTCAACATCATCATCGTCATCATCATCACCTCCTAAACATCGTCATCATCATCATCACTTCAACATTGTCATCATCATCATCACCTCCTCAACATCGTCAACATCATCATCACCTCAACAACATCATCATCACCTCAACATCATCATCATCACCTCAACATCGTCATCACCTCCTCAACATCATCATCATCGTCATCATCATCACCTCATCATCATCATCACCTCATCATCAACATCATCACCTCCTCAACATCACCACCGCCACCACCCTCTCCTCCCCCCTCTCCCCCGCCCAGGCCTACGCTCCGCTCCGTGTCTCTGCGGGCGACGAGGTGAGCGGCCCCGCATCCACCTCGTCGCTGGAGCGCCGTGTGGAGCAGCAGCTGGGGTCGCTGTCCAAGCGACACCTCGTCCACCTCGTCCGCTCGGACTCCCCCGAGCTGCTGCAGCTGCTGCGTGAACTCTCGCAGAGGGTGACTGCCGCACCTCGTCACACACCTCGTCACGCACCACTACACCTCGTCACACCTCGTCACACACCACTACACCTCGTCATGCACCACTACACCTCGTCACACCTCGTCACACCTCGTCACACGCCACCACACCTCGTCACACCTCGTCACACCTCGTCACACCTCGTCACCACCTCGTCACACCTCGTCACCACTCGTCACACCTCGTCACACACCTCTACACCTCATCACACACCTCGTCACACCTCGTTACACCTCGTCACACCTCGTCACGCACCACTACACTCGTCACACTTCGTCACACCTCGTCACGCACCTTGTCACGCACCTCGTCACACACCTCGTCACGCACCTCGTCACACTCGTCACGCACCACTACACCTCGTCACACCTCGTCACACCCTCGTCACACACCTCTACAACCTCGTCACACCCTCGTCACCACCTCGTCACACCTCGTCAACCACCTCCTCGTCCTCCCACAGCTAGAGGAGCTGCAGGATGAGCTGCAGCCCCTGGAGGAGTCGGTGAGGAGAGGAAACTTCCTGGCAGCAGCTGATGAGTGTGAGCACCACCACAACCACCAACAACAAACAACAACCATCACCACCACCACCACCACAACAACAACAACCACAACCACCACAACCACCATCAACACAACCACAAACCACCACCACAACCACCACCACCACAACCACAACAACCACCACAACCAACAACCACAACCAACAACCATCAACCATCAACCACCACAACAAACAACCATCACCACAACAACCACCAACACAACCACAACCAACAACAACCATCAACCATCAACAACAACCACACAACTAGCAACAACAACCATCAACAACCAACAACAACCTCAACAACCAACAACAACCATCACAACAACCACACCACAGCCACCATCAACAACTAGCAACAACAACAACAACCACCACAACTAGCAACAACAACCATCACAACCAACAACAACCATCAACAACACCACCACAACCATCAACAACAAACAACAACCATCAACAACAACCATCAACCATCAACAACCACCACCTACATCACCACTTACACCACCACCAACAACAACAACACCACCACAACCACCAACAACAATCACCAACACCACCAACAACATCAACAACAACAACCACAACCACCACAACCACAACAACAAACAACCACAACAACAACATGCAACAACAACAACCATCAACCACCACCTACATACCATCACCACTTACACCACCATCACCACCACCATCAACAACCATCACCACAACCACCACCACAACCACCACCAGCAACACCACCACAACCACCACCACCACCACAACCATCAAACACACCACCACAACACCACCACACACCATCAACAACCATCACCACAACCACCACAACCATCAACAACCATCACCACCACAACCATCAACAACCATCACCACCACAACCACCACAACCATCAACAACCAACACCACCACAACCACCACCAGCAACATCCATCACCACCACAACCACCACAACCATCAACAACCACCAACAACCACCACCACCACCACCAAAACCATCACCTCCACCACAACCACCACCACCAACAAACCCACCACCAACACCACAACCACCACCATCAACACCATCATCAGCCACTACGATGGTGGTGGTGCTGATGCTGCTGCTGATGGTGATGGCATTGATGAGACGCTAATGCTGATGCTGCTGCTGCTGCTGATGATGATGATGGCAGTGATGATGACGCTAATGCTGATGCTGCTGCTGATGATGATGCTGCTGCTGATGACGATGTTGCTGTTGATGATGATGTGGCTGATGATGCCGTTGCTGATGATGATGTGGCTGATGATGCCGTTGCCGATGATGATGTGGCTGATGATGATGTGGCTGATAATGATGATGTGGCTGATGCGTTGCTGATGATGCCGTTAGCTGATGACGATGTTGCCGTTGATGATGATGTTGCTGATGATGATGATGATGTTGCTGATGATGCTGTGTGTTTCCGCAGGGTGCAAACTACATCCACACAAAGTACAGAATCTGTTGGAAGTAAGTCACTCCCGACACAGATAAAGATCCCCCGTGTAGCCTCTAGCAGCCTAGGTTGTAGGGGCAAGTGCTGTTACTAGTAGCGAGTAGCAGCGCTTATACACAGATAAAGATCCCCCGTGTAGCCTCTAGCAGGCTGTAGGGGCAAGTGCTGTTAGTAGTAGCAAGACCCCAGAGACCCCCACTGAGACCCCCACACAGAGACCCACACAGAGACCCACACAGAGACCCACACAGAGACCACACAGAGACCCACACAAATCAGTGTCTGGGTTGTCACTCCCCCCCCTCTCTGCCCCCTCCCCTCCTTCCCTCCCCCTCCCTCCCCTCCCTCTGGCCCTCCCTCTCCCCCCTCCCCCTCTCCCCCCTCCCCTCCCTCTGGCCCCTCCCTCTCCCCCCTCTCCCCCCTCCCCCTCTCTCCCCCTCCCTCCCCCTCCTGGCCCCTCCCTCCCTCTATCTCCCTCCCTCTCCCCCCCTCCCCCCTCCCTCTGGCCCCTCCCCCTCCCTCTGGCCCCTCCCTCTCCCCCCTCCCCCCCTCTGGCCCCTCCCTCCCCTCCTCTGGCCCCTCCCTCCCCTCCCTCTGGCCCCTCCACCCTCCCTGGCCCCTCCACCCTCCCTCTGGCCCCTCCCTCCCTCCCTCTGGCCCCTCCCCCCCCTCCCTCTGGCCCCTCCCTCCCGCCCTCCCTCTGGCCCCTCCCCCCTCCCTCTGGCCCCTCCCTCCCCTCCCTCTCCTGGCCCCTCCCTCCCCTCCCTCTGGCCCTCCCTCCCCTCCTCTCGGCTGGCCCCTCCCTCCCTCCCTCTGGCCCCCCCTCTCCCCTCCCTCTGGCCCCTCCCCCCCCCCCACAGCTACTGTGTGAATCTCTGCTCTTCGTGCTGCTGAAGTCCGGCGAGCGGCCAGCGTACGTGACCACCCAGTGGTGTCACGTCTCTAGCCTACACACAGTGTGAGTGGTGGTAGTGGGTGGTAGTGGTGGGTGTGTACGTGACCACCCAGTGGTCACGTCTCCTAGCCTACCACAGTGTGAGTGGTGGTGGGTGGGTGGTAGTGGTGGGTGGTAGTGGTGGGTGGTATGTGGGTGTGTACGTGACCACCCAGTGGTGTCACGTCTCCTAGCCTACCACAGTGTGAGTGGGTGGTGGGTGGTAGTGGTGGGTGGTAGTGGGTGGTAGTGGGTGGGTGTGTACGTGACCACCCAGTGGTGTCACGTCTCCTAGCCTACCACAGTGTGAGTGGTGGGTGGGTGGTAGTGGTGGGTGGTAGTGGTGGGTGTGTGTACGTGACCACCCAGTGGTGTCACGTCTCCTAGCCTACCACAGTGTGAGTGGTAGTGGGTGGTAGTGGTGGGTGTGTACGTGACCCCCAGTGGTGTCACGTCTCCTAGCCTACCACAGTGTGAGTGGTAGTGGGTGGTAGTGGTGGGTGTGTACGGACCACCCAGTGGTGTCACGTCTCCTAGCCTACCACAGTGTGAGTGGTAGTGGGTGGTAGTGGTGGGTGTGTACGTTGACCACCCAGTGGTGTCACGTCTCCTAGCCTACCACAGTGTGAGTGGTAGTGGGTGGTAGTGGTGGGTGTGTACGTGACCACCCAGTGGTGTCACGTCTCCTAGCTACCACAGTGTGAGTGGTAGTGGGTGGTAGTGGTGGGTGTGTACGTGACCACCCAGTGGTGTCACGTCTCCTAGATACCAGCAGTGTGAGTGGTAGTGGGTGGTAGTGGTGGGTGTGTACGTGACCACCCA